CTGCTTTTGGAGGTTGTGTGGTTGCTTTCAGATATCACTGGTCCCCAAACACCTCTGCATAGGACTGGGCTTGTGTGGTTAATCACAGGCAGACTAGAGTGTGGAGAAGAGATCACCTCCAGAGTGTATAGTGGGAAGAACATGGTTGCTGAGATCAGGTATCTCTGAACTCAAATCCTACCGCTGTCACTTAAAGGAGCTCTGAACCTACAATAACTTAATCATGTAACCTCTTCAAACTGCCATTAAAATAAAGAAAACAATTTTTAATCAGTGTACTGTGCAAGACAACACATGTGAAATTACTTCTACCTGTTGCCTGGTATGTAGGTAATACTGAACAAATGCTGGGTTTTACTCCTGATTTTCCTTTCTTGAGCTGAGCAGTATCTCGTCCCAGTTCGGGTCTAGTGGATGAGTGAGTGGGGGTCAGATTCATGCTGTCCTCTCATAGATAGGTCTGCTATGAGAAAGAGTAAGAGACAGGATCTGATTTCATTGTGGAGATCAGGAAAGTCTTCCTAAGGAAACTACACTGGAATGGAGATGTGAAGGTTGGGTGAGAGCAGTAAGAAGAATGAGGTGCATAGGGAAATGCACTATAAACAGAAGTGGTGTGTGAGAGAGAACAAGAAAGGGAAAGAGAGAAACAGAGACAAGAGAGCGTGAGAGTCAGAATGAGAGAAAGGAGACCAGTGGGCCACGGAGCTGACAATTCTAGCATGGCTGAAGTGTATGGGGGAGGGGGAGGAGAAGAACAGGAACTAGGGGTAGGGTGGATATCAACAAGGGCCAGGGTTTGGAGAGTGTTACAGCCATAGCTGGGGTGGGGGATCACACGCCAAGTATCAGGGGAAGGGCCAAAAGTTTCTAAATGTTTTACAAGATCTTTCTTACATTTTGAAAAGACTACTTTGTATAAGAATAAAGTTAAAAGAACCAAACAGGACCACTGAAGTAGTCTAGAAAAGAAAGGACAGCATGAATTAGGTTGAGGGCAACGGAAGTTGAAAAAAAGGTGGGTGGACATCAGCCAGATTTTCCAAATTTATTAATCTCCTCTTTTGCTGACGTTTATTCTCTCTCTCTTCTTCCTCCCTAACTTCCCCCCACACACCGATACACATACACATGTGCACACCTGACCCTCACTCACTCATCCACTAGACCCAAACTGGGAAGAGAAAGCATCAGCAATGCTGTGTACACAGTGACTTGCTAAGGAGTCTGAGATCCTGCTCAGCTCAAGAAAGGAAAATCAGGAGTAAAACCCAGCATTTGTTCAGTATTACCTACATACCAGGCAACGTGTAGAAGTAATTTCACATGTGTTGTCTTGCACAGTACACTGATTAAAAATTGTTTTCTTTATTTTAATAGCTGTTTCTTTATTTTAACGGCAGTTTGAAGAGGTTACATGATTAAGTTATTGTAGGTTCAGAGCTCCTTTAAGTGGCAGCGGTAGGATTTGAGTTCAGAGATACCTGATCTCAGCAACCATGTTCTTCCCACTATACACTCTGGAGGTGATCTCTTCTCCACACTCCAGTCTGCCTGTGATTAACCACACAAGCCCAGTCCTATGCAGAGGTGTTTGGGGACCAGTGATATCTGAAAGCAACCACACAACCTCCAAAAGCAGTGACATCAGAGCTGAGTTCAGTGCAGTTTTGCACAGGGTGCTGGAGTTGTGAGTAACTCTGAGGTGCCCTAAATGAAGTTTCACTACAAGTCAGATCTGATCGAGCTCCTGCCTCTGGAAACAACAGCATAGTCTTGTGGGGAGTAGAAGGGAGGGCATGAGAAGCTTCGTAATCTGAGGTTTTGCTCCTGTCCTATTACCATGAACAAATTTCTTTAGGGTGATCACATGACCAAGGGCACCATATCCTGAAGGCATGGTGCCGTCAGAGAAGAGGAGTGTATCAGGAAGGTATTGATCAGAGAAGCAGAGCCTCTGTAAAGGACACAAACAGAAGTTTGTTATAAAGGTTGGACCCTGAACACTTTTGAGAGCTGGTGGAGAAGTTGGTGGCAGAGTGCTGCTTCAGTGTCCAGAGGAACCAGAAATCTCTGTAGACCAACAGGACTGGCAAATAGGAAGGAAACTGGGAAGAGCAAGCACGATCTGGAAACACTGAAGACATTGGAACCCATGACTGCTGCCATTGCCTCCGATGGTGTTAATGGAGGAGAAGCTGGCAGCAAGCTCAGGGCACAGTGTCTGCAGGTGTCTGAGAGGTAGCTGGAGACACTGAAGGCCCAGGTCTTGCTCCACCTGCCAAGATGAGTCCTTCAATCAGTAGGAGCTAAAAGGGTGCCTGGCACCCTACAACAATCTCCAGAGCATTCCTGCTGCCTCCCCCTTCTGCCTTCCCAGTCTTACAGGAAAGATAATCCTGGGATGTATGTATATCTTAGCTAAACTGTCCAAGTATCAAGTCACTTCAAGGGGACTTTGTTATGTGTCCACGAGTTGACTTGGCTTATAGTGACACTGTATAGGGTTTCTGAAGAGCAGCTGGTGAACTTGAACTA